CACAAGCTGCAGTCCATTTACTCCTTTTCTGCTAAGCGGGGTGCTTTGAATCACAGACATATTGCTTGGGTTGGAGGCCAGGCTCTGGGGCCTAGGGTAGAAAACCACCTTCTGGAATGTTCCTTTGGGTGAAAGAAAAGGGTAACCGGCCCTTAAGATTCCCTCCAGAGCCAGGGTGTGCAGAGAAGGCAGGAGCTGAGAAACTTGGGAGCAGACGCAGGCGAGGTGTTGCATGAGGTCAGTCAGCCCCCTGGGAGGTCAGAGTGACTTTATTTACCTTGACTTCTGTTCACTTCTGTTTGTTGTCTTGTCCACTGAATCCATCTGTGAATCCTAAAGAGAAAACTTAGTCAGAAGTGACTTCTATTTCCTAGATAAACGTTCTTTCACTGGCAGCCAGGAAGAGAGTTAAAGTTGGCGTTAAAATCAAAGGTCTTAGTTTTGTTTTGTTTTGTTTAGTTTTTATCGTGATTTGGGGAAAAGTTTACAGAACACACTCACTTTACATACAGCAGCTCATACATACTTTGTCTCATGACATTGACTGCAATTTCCCACAATGCAACAACTCCCCTCTCACTTCCTCACTTCCTTGTGTCCTTCCCTCCCATGCCCTCCTGCCCCCCGAGCTGTCTCCCTGTACATACACTGCCCTTCTGTTCTATTCTATGAAGGTCAGGGATCTTTGTTTAAATTAGAAAACCGGAAAAGTGTCATATATAAAACACACGTCCAGAACGTTTGCTAAGCCACTGCCCCAACGCTGTGTAATCCATCAGGCCACCAAGCACTTCGAGTGCTCAGGTGGGGGCTTGGTGTGGGCCTGCTCACGCTGGCCCTGCCCGATGCTATCCTGGAAGGCTTTGGGTCTACTGCAGAGGCCCAGCGCGAACACAAATGACTTACCACCTAAGGAAGAAAATGGCAAGCAGCAGAGCCAAGACAAGACTGACAGTTTTTCGCACGCTCTCTGGTACGATCATATCTGAGGTGGACACTTCTTGGCAAGTCTTACCTGCGTCAGCCTCGCATCCGAGCTGTCAGCCCTCCCCATGACCACGCTGAGTTCCCACCGCAAGAAATAATGAAAGTCAACTCTTAGCTAGCTCTGTATTGCCAAGCTATATCTGTTTTCCACAAGTCATCCAGAATCACACTTTTTGTGTAATCTAGAATTAATACTTATAACCAGAAGGTTGGCAGTTCAAACCCACCAGCCACTGCACAGAAGGAAGCATGGACAATCTACTTCTGTAAAGATTCACAACCTCGGAAACCCAAAGGGGGTCGCTATGAGTTGGAATCGATTCGACGGCACTGAGTTTGGTTCTTCTTGGTTTGGTAGACACGAAGGAAACGAGAAAAAAAAAGTTTAAACAGCCCAGAATCCTACTGTCTACGAGCATTAACTGTTAACTTTGATGAATCTCCTCTAGACTTTTTAACTTCATTTTCTGTCATGCATAATAAAAACACTTCCCTTATCTCATTAAAAAGCTCTCCATAAATCTAAGCGTACTGGCCACAAACACGGGATGCTCTCCTGCATCCTTAACGCAGGCCTTTGCCACAGTTCACCCTCACCACCATCTCGGTGCCCAAAGCTCTTTACTAACTATTTTGAGGTGACCGACGTAGGGAGAGTTCGGGAAGCGGAATTGCTGAGTTACTGATTGTGTAGACAACAGTTCAGCGTGTACTCCTGTCAAAGTGCTCCCCAGGCAGGTGGCCAACAGAGCACGGGGACACATCCCAGCAAGCACTACCTGCAGCCGCTTGCTTTACAGGGCCACCTTTGTTTTCTTAATTAGAATCAGGTCACCAAAAAGAACCATCCCGGGTAGGGAAACAAGGCTGACTCCGCCATGAGCGCTGTGTGACCTTGGCGCTCAAGGGGATTCTGAAGACTGTCCCCTAAAAGGGAACATAAACCTTACGCATTTTTCGGCCCCTTGGAGAAACAGCTTAAAGCTTCCCTCGTACTCCCGAAGGTGTCTGTGACCTTCTGTCAAACATAAGACACTTCAGTCCACAGGCATCTGTCACTCGGCTGAAGGGGTCAGCAGAGGCCAGGCAGGAGCTCTACCTTTTGACGTCCCCCCTCCTTTCTCCTACGAAGTCACTGGCAGGGTCATCTACGATCAAGCAGGCTGGCTGGGTGTTTTGGATCTCCTAGATATTTTCTAAGGAAAACAACAAATTCTGGGCTCCCCACTACAGACAGTGAGACCTGTGAGAGCCAGAACTCAATGGGACAGCCCTGGTTTTCTGGGTCTCACAAGTTTTCTGACTCCGACAGGGTGCAGTCACCCTTCCATTGATCATTTTAGTGGAAAATGTTTGCATTTTTCTTCTGACAGGTTTCCGCCTTACCAGGGTGGGTCCAATGTTCGCAGGTGTGACCGTAATATAATCCCCGGCATAAGTAAACCTGGGCCCCAGCCCTGGGTTCAAGGACTGATGTAACCATCCCAGGCCTCAGTTCCACACCCATACAACAGTACTCTTGCTAACCAGCAGGGTTCTGGAAGCTGGGAGCTCTCATGAAAGGCCCTGCTGGAGCTCACACCGCAGTTCAAACAGCCAGCTCCAACTGTCACCTGGGCTGCCCCCACTTCCTCTCTGAACCTCCCGGAGCCCGCTCCTGTCTGATCCCATTTGAAGGGTCACTATGAGATGCCCACGGGCAGACTGATCCGATGCCCCACCCCTCTCCGAAACAGTCCCCGTTACTGTGGAATAGCTGCTGTCCTGCCGACCGGAAGGGGTTGCTCCTCTCAGCCTTCATAGACAACATCTGAGGACATTCTCTTGGTCACTCGTCAACCAATGACTGCTGAGACAGCCGGTTCAGACCTCTCTCCTTCTCGCCGTCCTCCCACGACTTTGGAGTTTCTGCGTCCAACGCTCAGTCACTGTCACAGCCCAGATGCTGCTCACAGACATCTGCTGTCTCCCAGGGACATGTGATGCCATGGGACTCCCAAGCTGTCCCAAAGAACCAGTTCTCACTGTTGTTTGAACACTTACATCAACAGGTGGGAGCCTGGGCTCGGGGCGCGTTCGCTGCTGGTTTGTGCGCTCAACACAAAGGGCCTCTTTTGAGGCCTGGGCTGACTGGAGGGGCGGAGCTGACCCCCAGATGGCACTCAGGAGAACCACCCGGGCCTTTCAGGGCCAAGGAGGCACCGTGGGAAGTACCCGAGTCTTTGAAAACTCCCCGCTCACCCTGCAGTGAAGACCTGCAACACTGCCCATATTTAGACATGTACAGCTCACTCTCCTGCTACATGTTTAAGACATGACCTCATTTCCTGTTCTCTCAGCAGCATCCACGGCCAAGCCAAATCTCACGATAACCTCAGAATCACCCCAAACCTCTCCTTGTTCTGAAACCAAGGCCCAAGGTGGTGATTTTCAAAACAGCTGCCCCTGTGGCCCCGAGAGTCCCAGTGGGACAAGAAGGCTGTTAGCTCTGCACTCCCTCTCCCTAGCCGGCCGGATTCTAGACGGCACTCACAAAGCCTTCCAAGGGGCCTTTGAGAAGCGGCATCTCTGGTTTCCTTGGTGACTGTGTTTGTAGGCTCAAAGCCAAGTCATCATAGCAACCTAGTTTTTGCAGTACTTATCTGTGTTTTCTGAAAGCAAAATTAGTCTCCAACACAGCTTCAGGTGAGCAGTTCCTATCTTTCTTATCTGAAGCCACAATCAAGTCTCAAGAGGATGTTCTTGCTCAGAAATTGAGATCCCGTGCATTTTATGAACTAGCCACAGAACAGCTAGAGACTATGCTCCCTTCTTTGAACTCCCAGCAGCAAGAAACGTATCTCAAACCCAGTCCAATGCAAAACAGAACCAAGTACAAAACCTGAGCTTGTCATTGACAGCGAGTAAAACAAAGCCCGCCCCCGCATCCACTGTGTGGGGCGGACTGGCAATGACTCACCTTCAGCCCTCACATGCCTCCTGTGTCCCCACACACCTCGCACATGGGCGTTCTCTGGCCAGTGGGATACTGACAAACACGAAGCCAGCAAGAGTCTGATCAACGCTCTAACACCGGGGCTGACTCTTGGAACTCGGCCTTGTAAAGCCCAGTCTAGCATCTGTTCAAACCCACCAGCCACCCCTCGGAAGGAAAGTTGGGCAATCTACTTCTGTAGTGATACTGCCTCAGAAACCCAAGGAGGGGTCGTTATGAGCCGGGTCTGACTCGAGGGCACGTAACAACAACAACAACAACAACAACAGCAGCAGCAGCAGCAGCATCCCAGCCACCCACTAAGCCTGAGCAAGACTAATGGTCTGGACGGCCCACTGAGCAGTACGGGAGCCACCTGCCAAGTCAGCCCCGTGGGCAACACAGCAGGCCAGTGTGTCAGTCCCCGCGGTTTAACACCCACCCCCACCACACGGTGCTATGCCGCGCAGAGAGGTGGGACAAGAACAGACTCTGAAAAGAAAGAGTGGGCTAATGAGCAAAAGAGCGCCCAGAGGCGGAAGAGGCGGGAAAAGCATTTGTCGAGGGCAGTAACTATTACAAGTGGTTTAACAAAAGCTTTGCAATGACTCAGCTTCTGGGTCATGGTTTCACAGGACATCCCAGTTAACTGGCCTAATAAAATGCTTAGTGCTTCTGTTCTACCTCCTAGTTCCATGTGTAGTGCCTGGGGTTTTAATAGCCTGCAAGCGGCCACCCAAGGACAGCAACTGGTCTCTAGTCACCTGGAGCGACAGAGGAAGGAGTTAGGAGAACAAGGTGCATATGGAAGCATGGTTAATTGCCTCCTTTGCCACGAGACCAGAAGTGGATGGTGCCTGGCAACCATAGAAGAATCCAGATCAAAATGGGGGAAATGCAGCACAGAATTTCAAATTCTCATGGAATCCAGACTTTCTGGACCCATGGAGGATGGATGAATCCCTGGAACTACTGCTCTTTAAACCATAAACCAAAAATATCCCCCTGAAGTCTTCTTAAAACCAAACACTCACTTAGCTCAGCCAGTAAAGAATGTCAGCCTTGGGCCCTGTGCTCTTTTAAGATCCACTGATACGGGATCAGAGTGACAACAGCAGCTTCAGAGATCAGACAGGACCCTTAGGCAGCAGTGAGTTTATGTTCCTGGGGAGGAGCGACTCAGAAAAGGAGGGTGAGGACTGTTACGCAACCCCAAGAATGTCATCAACTGGCACGTCACTGAATTGTCACGCAGAAACTGTTGAGCTGGTTTGCTGAATATGTTTTATTATATATATTCTCAACAATAAATTATTTTCAAAAATTACTCAGCTTCTATTACAAACTTAACTAAACCACAGATTAGAACTTT